GTAAAAAAAAAATATATATATATGGTAAGATTTAGCATGAAACAAATACACATGTACCTGACAGCTCCTCCCTTCTCTCCTCAGTGCCTGTGACAACAAAGCCTCCACACAAGTACAGTGTGGCTCCAGCCATCCTGCTGGACCTCCACCCGTACAGCGGCAGTTACAGCCTCCCGCCCCCCAGCTAGCCAATAACTGCCCCCCAAGCCATATTCCTGCCCCGAGCCCCTCCCACCACCACCACAACCTCCCACAGGCCAACCAAAGCCAGCAGTTTGCTCTGCCGCATCCCCCCATCAGCTGCCCCGGGGCACCTTTCAGCACAGAACAAAGGTGAGTTCTGATTAATACTTCTGAAGATAATATGAAATATCTATAATATATGTCACTGAAAATGGGTCCCTTAATGAAAACTGTTGGGAACCACTGTTTTATACGATGTAAGCTGGAAACAAAGTCAGTTCAGACCCTCAGACCTCCACTTGTGTTCCTTCACACTTCAGGTTTCAGCGGCAGCTGTCAGAGCCCTGCTTGTCTTTCCTCCCTCCGGAGAAAACGGGGAACGCGCCGTACCAATCCTCGAGCCGTGATGGGCGGCCGCTGTACCAGCGCCACCTTTCGGATCCCCTGGTTCCCCAAGGCCCTCGAGGTTTCAAACAGGAGCTGGTGGACCCACGATACCCAGAGCCAGGGCCACCCGGTCAAGGTCTGGCCCAGCCCCAAACTGCCTTCAACCATGTCACAATCAAACAAGAGCCAAGAGACTTTGGCTTTGACTCAGGTGTGTGTGTGTGTGTGTGTGTGTGTGTTTTTGTGTGTTATCTGCTCCATGTGTTTGAACCCAAAGACTTATGAAGACTTGTGACTTGTCTTCCAGAGGTTCAGACCTGCCAGTCATCACCATTTGGAAAGTCTCCAGTCTTGTACCAAAATAACAGTGTTGGTGAGTTTGTGTGTGTTTGCTTTAAAATAAGTCTTTGTTGTTTTGCCTGAGCCTGCAGAGTTTACTAATATTTCATTTCTTTATGCCACAGGGTTCGGTCATGACAGAGAGCCACATTTGTACTATGACGACACTTGTGTTGTGCCAGAAAGACTGGAAGGTAGGACTGTCAGAGCTTTGAGCTTTAAAGGATAGCATTAGTATTTAGAATAGCTGATAATCTAGGAGGAACAGGCCTGATTCTCACTGTGTCCTGTTTGACTGTGTATGCAGGTAAAGTGAAGCAGGAGGGTTTGCCGTACCAGCGCCGCGGCTCCCTGCAGCTCTGGCAGTTCCTGCTCACGCTGTTGGACAACCCGGCCAACGGACACCTGATTGTCTGGACGGGACGCAACATGGAGTTCAAACTAATCGATCCTGAAGAGGTCAGCCATCACCGATGGGTCATCATTAAAGGCTTAATGTAGAAAATGGTGAATGGTAAAATATATTTGGTTTAGTGTGGCGTAATTAACTTTTCTTCTTCTTTCCTCCTGTGTTCAGGTGGCTCGGCTGTGGGGGCTCCAGAAGAATCGACCGGCAATGAACTACGACAAGCTGAGCCGCTCACTGAGATATTACTATGAGAAGGGCATAATGCAGAAGGTAAAGGCAGGTCATGTTTCATTTCTCTCCTCCAGTAGTCTTATACGTGGTTGCACATTTATTCTAGTAAGTGTCAGTTAGATTGAAATCTGCTGTTTTGGATGTGCCAACTCTCTGCAACTCTGCAAAATGCTACATATTAACCATTCTGTTTTCAAGGTTAGTAATATGCTCCTTGAAAAAAAGCTTGCTTTTCAACATAATCTGGTGTTTCATTGACACAGTTACTCACGTAGACCAAAAACAATTTCATGTTTGAAATGATTCCTGTCGTCATATTTGTTTGGCTCCTGGCCTGTTCACTCAACATTCCCAGCTAGATAAGTCTTCTGTTGATGCATTAAATACTGATATGCAGGTTTAACTGGTTAAACTAAGACACATAAATGGACGTTTGTGGATATTTTCAAAATTAATAATAAAAGTTCCTGTTGACAATAGTGGACCTTCAAAGGAACGGGAACTTCACACACTGAACAGGCTAGGGAGCAATCAAGTTCTTGATGATGGGATTTGAACCAAAGTTCCCCCTTGAATGCCCCTAGGGTAGATAAAACACGGTAAAGCACCTCTTGGGTGTATTTCCAGTTGACAAAACATTTAAAAATCACAAGTTTTTGAAAATGTGCATAGAAGTGGCCAAAAGGTCGTCTTTAATCGTCCAATGAACCTCATTCTTTTTTCTCACCTCTGATTGGCTCGTCCTACAGGTGGCTGGGGAAAGGTATGTCTACAAGTTTGTATGCAACCCCGAGGCGCTTTTCTCCATGGCTTTCCCAGACAACCAGAGGCCGAGTCTGAAGGCCGACCCGGACGCCATCTTGCCTCCCAGCGAGGAAGACGGCTTCCCCCTGCCCAGCTACGAGGAGGAGGGTCCATACCTGGCTGACGGAGGGGAGCAGTGCGTCCGGGGACTGGCTTTCCCCGACAGCTACCCTTACTAGAGTCCACAGCCTGGCAGCTGGAGGAAACATGAGATGTTTAAAACAGCAGGAACCTGAATTACTGAGCAGTGTTTGAGATTTTCAAGCTGTATACCCGCATTATATATGAATTTATGAGAGTAAGTAAATGTCTCTTTTGCCAAATATTTAGTTTGCAAAATTATGATTCAGCCTGAAGCTGCAAATCTGAGACTGTTAATTTGAACTCACTCCCTCAGCAGAAATGCAATTCTTTGTCCAATACTAGTGTAGTTGGGATTTGGTTTTATTTCAAGAATAAAGTTGTTATAAATTGAGAGAAAGTTTTAATATTTCAAAAATAGTTCATAATAGAATCATAATGTTACAAAAAGTCATAATATTTTAAAGTTTTTTTTGTGAAAATGTCATAGTATGATAGGTCGTAACATTTTAAGATAGTCGTGATTTTATGAGAAACACGAGTCATAATATTATGAGAATAAAGTTGTGATTTGACACACAAGCTAACAGATAATGTTTTTTAATGAACTTACATTTTTCTCAATATTACATAAACTAAATTTATTCTTGAAATATTAAAAAAATTTTCCTCAATATTTACATTTTATTCTCAAAATCACAGGTTTTTCCCTCTGCCACAGTGACCCTCAGTTGTAATTTAGTAGCATGGCTGTTGCTGTAGTCCTCGCGTACGTAAACTCTGGGATCTGTATTTCAACCAAAAAGTATCTCAAAGCCATGGCACTCCTTCACTAATCTACTTCTAAACACCTTCTAGTGCTTGAAAGGGACACACTTATATTTTCCAAATGTTATGGTCCGCCTATAAACGTGTATATTAAAGTGTCTTTTGTGTACTTTTTCTTGTTTTCAAAGCTAATATTTTTGGCATTATATTGACTTGTAAGTTTTTCCTAAACCATTTTATGACAAAGGTACTGCTCCTATTTTTGATTCTGTAATACTGCCACTGCTAATAATAAGCATGGACTTTCTTACAAACGGCTCACCAGTTATTGTACTGAGATAGTTTTCTGCATTTTGTATAGTTGATTTGCTTCAATGTGTAGAAAATGTGTATAATTATATATGAATATATTTTTTCAAAAGGCTGCATTTGCTTTACGTCGTACCATGAGCTGCTGAGTTTAGCCTGCTAATGTACTGCGTCAGTTTCAGCCCCCCAAGGTGGAATGACTCATACCTTTTAGAAAGTGGATGTAATGGTATATTTTGCGATATGATCACATGGTGTAGAGTGGAGGCTGGAGAAGGATACTGACACTGGTGTGACGTCTACCCTCAGATACTGTATGTGTGCCTTCTGTTGATCTTTACTGATACAATAAACTATTTTACTCTTTTCTTTCGTCTCACTGTGGATCGTATACAAAGTATTTTAGACATGGGACTTCGTTAAACTGCATACAATTTTTGTCAGATATTTCAATTCTAAACTTCAACACAGACATGACTGACTTCTAAACATCCCAGACATCTTGTCAGTGTACAGGTAGCCTAATATAAGTCTTTCACCTAATATAGAATATATCAATGTAGGGAAAAAAATGTCTATTAAAAATATTTGTGCTATCATCAACACATTACATATATCAAAATATTATCCAATTCCAGGAGATCTAATAGATCTACGAACAAAAGTCACTGTTCTGAACAATTTTAGACCATAACAGTATGAACTGAGTTTTGTTTTGTTTTGGATGAGAGATTCAGGGGCTGATCTATAGAAATATTCATGGGGCGGCAGGAGGGTGCCATGCAGACTTTAAAGGGTGGCAAAAAAATATACTGATTTAATCACAAACAATCACATATATCAATATCTGCTTGGAAAAGCCCCCCAAAAGGAGATATTTGAACTCAAAAACATTTAATTATTGTGGCACAAGCTTTTTTTCATCTAACAGATCATTCACTTGAAATGTTATGTATTCAGTTATGTTTTTTAACATGTTATCCTTTTAAATGAACCTAAATTAATGTGTTACATTTGACAGCATTTGACACCAAACTTGGGTGGCCAGGTATTTTTTAGGGCCAACTAAATGCCACCCCTGGAGAGATTAGTAATCATTTTAGAGCTAATCATCAAGAGTCAATTTGTGTTTTTTTCTTATTTTGATTTCTTTGACATCTTTGTTCCAACATTGTTGTAGGTTATATTTTCTTATTTTTTCCTGCATGCTTTTAGTCATGTGTTCATGTGTGCATTAAAGCACCACTGAAAATTGTGGTGTGGCAAATCAATAAATCAATAATAAGCTTATCATATCAGTTTATCTGCAATTCTTGTAATTCATGAACCAGCTTTGTGCCTGACTTTTGCAATTATTTGATGGTAACAAATAGTCCACATCCTACAATAGTATTCAAAGCTCTGTGTCCACTGAAGCTGCAGCAGCGTCCTCTGCTGTTTGTAAAGAGAAGTGTAAAAGCTTACAGCACCTGGTATTCCCAGGCGGTCTCCCATCCTGGAAAGTGGACCAACCTGAAGACTCCTTCATAGTTTCCACAGAGCGTGTCAACAGCAGTCCTCCTGTAACCATCAAACACACAATAAATAATCAGAATGTGGAGTTCTTTCAAGATGAACTATAGTGAACACATTCAAAGCAACCTTGGTGTATGAAATAAAAACTGGATATTTGCACTAATAAATTATCTTTCATTTCATTCAATCTCTTACTTATTTTGTTGTTAATTTTTCAGATGCCTTATTATAATAAAATAATAAAGTATTTTATTATTTATTAAAATAATAATAAAATACTGAACTAACGTGAGTAACCTTAAGTAGCAGTTTGATTGTAAAAAAATAAAGTAAAAATTACAGAAATACTGACATTTAATATAATTTCCTGATGAAAATTCCAACCAATGCAACACATGCTCACTCTGTGTCTTTAAATATCATAATAGGAAAAACTGTATTCCAGAAAAATCTATTAAGATGTAAATAATGTTACTGGATAATAAATAATCATCTTCAGTAAAACTGAAGCTCCAACTTCAGGAACTGACCATAGAGAATTGATTTTGACATTGATGGTGACTGGTGACATTTTGAACACAGTTAAGCTTGTATAAAACAAGGAACCACTAAATAACGTATTTGGATTTCTGTTCCTGAAGGTGACATTGGGGTCTGCAATCTGTACAATTATTGGAACAGTTTTATATGCTGACAATAGTTAGTAGACAATAGTATCCTATGAACTGCCTCAAGAATAAAGACACACTTTCCATCTATGTTCCTGTCAGATACAATGGTGGAATATTAATCAATCAGCCATTAATCAATAATAATCAGGCATATGAAGAGAGCATGTGACTTTGCTGTGAACAGAGCAAACAGCCACTGTACCAATATATCTCTGAGTAACCTTATTGCTGCCATTACTGCTTCACAAGAGCAACGTTACAGTGTTTAAGCAGTTAGTGCTGTGAATGATGACCTTCATCAACTATATCTGAGCAAGAGGACAGACACAAACACAATCATACAGTATTTACATTCTCACACAGGGGGAAAAAGACACTTTGTTGTTCAGGTGGCATTGATTTCCTCTGACAATAACAGCAAGAAAACAACAACAACAAATGTTTAAAACGCCATGTTCCTCCTCACAATAATCTCTGATTGTCCGTTCAGCCTCTGACTAACCTTCCAACTCAAAGGAACTCCAGGTGTCTGTGTTGTTTTCCTCCAGTCTCCCTCCTCTTCCTCTCGTCCTCCACACGTCTTCATGAGGCAGGTTGATGGAGCTGTCACTGCCACACTGACAGCTGCCATGAACAATGTGTCTCTGAATAGAAAATATGTGATCAGTAAGTGTCTTTTTTGTTTATATGATGTGCAAATATTTATATTCTTTGAGTTTTCACAATTAGTTTTCTGCTAACTTATTTTATTAAAATTGTTTAATACATTTTTTGTTCTTTACTCTGGAGATCTCACATTACCTCACATTTACTACTTTATATGTGGTATGATAGAGCTTCTTGTGTCCCACGTATTCATGTTTTCCTGCATGTTTATGGACACAACCGGTACCATTATTCTAAAAATCAACAGCAGATGATGATGTGGGTGCTTACCTGTCCTGAGATTTTCAGTCTTCTCCTCAGTCACTCTATATCACAGATTTTTGGAGAAAATGGATATATTTTTACAGAGAAAACATTTTATGGTTTCCCCTCTGATGTCTAAGGCCCCTAAGGTGGAAAAAAAGTGTGTTTTCCCAACAAATCTTTACGCCCTCTTGTCAAACCTTTCCACAGTACCTGACTGCAAACAAACGGCCTGGCCTCACTGTTTACTGTACAGAAGTACACAACTTAAAACTTTGTTCACAGATTCTAATTGCAAGGCCATGAAGCTCAACATCTATCCTCTTTTTTCACAGAACAGAACACAAACGTATATATATTTTTTTTTCCAATCTTTTTTTCCCATCGTATGATCCACAAGGTTCTCCATAGATGTCCTGCAGCTGCCTGGCCTCAACTCTCTGTTGTTTTTGTTGTGTCTGTGCACCAGCTGGGTGGTGGATTTTGTTCGACTGTTCTGCTTTCTTTTTTTCTGCCATCTCTGGCACAGACTGCCATCTAAGAACAATGGCTGCTGGCATACCATGGGTCCTCGTTGATGAATCCTCTTGAATCATCAGGGGTTTAGCCATCAGATGTTAGCACCCCACTCAGCACAGCTAATATAACTATCAACACTTCATCGTCCTGTCTCGTATTTATGTATATTTGTTCCATAATGATTTGTTTTGTAATCACAAGACATGAAATCAATTCTGCTGCAGTTTGTGTGCTTTTATTTGCAGGTGAGTAAAGTTCAGATAAAGGGGTGTAGGGAGGTGAGAAACAGGAAGCGATATGGTTTAAGTTGCAGTCTAGTCCACAACACGTCTAATGGAGCCTACAGACGGATCAACAGCCCCCCAATCCGCGTTCCGTCTGTATTCTCCCTTCTCCAGCAGGTACTGGCGTCCCCTGTAGTTTGGATACTCGTAGAAGACCCAAGTACCGTCCTGGATGTGAGCAGAATTAACCCCACGGTAGCGCCAGCGGTCAAGCAGGTTGGGCATGTCCTCACTAAACTCAATCATCTGACCACTGAAGTCTGGATGTTCGTAGATGCGGATCCTGTACCTGCTGGAAGACTTAAACAACAACCAAAATATAAAATCTTAATTAGTGAGCTTTAACGTTCTCCAGTCTTTATGCTAATCTAACTCCTGGCTCTAGCTTTGTATTTATGTAAGAGTGTGGTATCAAACTTCCAGTGAATCATAGGTTTATCTGGGGCAAATCAATAATTAGCTGATGTGTCTGAAACTTTGATGTTTTGTAACAGTTTTGGCTAAAATATAAAATAAAACAGTTAATAATTTAAAGGATATTAACATTTTGGATATAAGAAATTTGGCAAACCAGCACAATAAGTGATATAAACACATGTAATTTAAATTCCAGGACTTACATGTCTGATGAGGCGACAGGAGCGGATGGTGTCACTGAAGCCATTCCAGCTCTGGTAGTTTGGGTACTCCCCTTTCATGAGGACATACTGGTAGCCCATGTACTGGGGTTTCTCATAGATGACCCAGACCCCGCTCTCCACCCGGATGGAGTTACAGCGATTGAAGTGGGAGCTGAGCTCAGGACAGTCGCTACCACATTCGTAGTGATGACCCTGGAAGTTCTTGTCCTCATAAAAGAAGATCTGCAAGCAGGAGTCTCTGTTAGACCCCTACGTCGACTAGTAGATGTCTGCTTCCATTGTTACTTCTTTTGCTAATCCTATCTTTACTACTATTACTACAGTAATAAAACTGTGCAGTGTGCATGCAACTAAGGACAGTGGGTAGGTCAAATTTAAATCAGGAAGTCTGTCTGTAATAATGTTAACAATGTGCAACTACGTGTGTTTCTAGATTTGCAGATCTCACGTCTTCATATGAATGCAGAATCTTTAGGCAAGGGACCAAGATTTTGGCATCAAAAGCATTCTGGTTTCCATTTGTAGTCTAAGCATTATTGATCACGTTTAAGCAGGATTGGTTGCATGCAGGTAAACAGTCTGTGTGGAGAGCAAAAGAAGCGGAACGCACTGTGCAATCTCATAATCCATCAGCTATCGTCTGACAATTATTTTGCTGAAATGCATCTTTCTTGTCATTTTTGCGTATTAAGTTGCTAATTGGCCTCAATATCTGTTATCTACACTGAAAGAGTAGCTTTTTTAGCATGTTATGCTGCCCCCAAGTGGCCAAAAAACAAATACTGCTGCTCCAAAAGTTCTGTCAAGGATTCCCTGACTTTACTGATGACAAGAGTCATTTTTGCACAAACAAGAATGAATTCTGGGTGAGATCAAGCTGACAAATCACAAACCAAAATTTACAAACATTTGGCCAATAAATTCATCTTGGCCTACTAAAACAAAGGCTTTGTGCAGGAAAATTAAATACATTTAGAAAGTTATATGTGACAAAAAAATAAATACAGTAAAACACTACTTCAATCCGTAATTCCAATATTTTTCTAACTCAAAGCAAATGCATATATATAGCACACAGTATATACACAGTTATTTGCAGTTACATGACTGCACATTTCAACTGAACATCATTCCTGAGGGACAATTACAGACCGATTAGACTGTATGAAGTGCATCAGGTGTTACTCACCTTTCCTGTGCGCTCCATAATCGCCTCGTTCCTCCTCAACCAATAAAAGTAAAGCCCTTCATTCACACTGCATTACTGATGGACCACGTTCATATAAAGGCTGATGAAATGCAGTGCCAGTAGAATTATTGTCATTCAAATGAGCTCTCCATTAACTTTGGACATTAGCTGATGCTGCAATTGTATTACAGTACCTGGCCTTTATATGTGCTGTTTGATTGCTTAATGTGTTGATGCTGAAATTTTTACTGGATGCTATTTGACACCAGCTTTTTCTCAAATTTCCTATTATTTTTTGTTGTAGTTTTAACTATTTATAGCTTTATAGAGCCTTCTAAATTGTTCACACTGGACCTTTAACTTGCGTTCCTAATAATGCGACAGGACCAATGCCCAGCCGGCTCTGGTAGTCTGGATACTCTCCTGGGTTCAGCACATACTACATACATACTACATAGCTCATGTATTACCCAAAATCCTCCCTCCACTCTGATGGAGTTGCAGTGGCTGAAGTATGTGTGTAGTTCACTGGACTCATTGTTGCGCTTGTGGAATTGACCCTGGAAGTCACTGCAGTGCATTCTGTATGAAACTGTACAATGGTCCTCCCTCTCCCTCAGAAGGAAA